TTTATTTTCTGGAGTGTTGGCTATTCCTGCCAGCTTGATGTCATCTGCAAATTTGATGAGTTCCCCATCTATCCTCTCATGCAAATCATTAATGAAGATGATGAAGAGTACTGGGCCTAGAATAGAGCCTTGGGGTACTCCACTGCAAATTTCCCTCCATATAGATGCAGTTCTATTGAGGACTGTCAGTTGAGTATGGTTGGTCAGCCAGTTACAAATCCATCTGATAGTGATACTGTCTAATCCTCATTTTTCTACTGTATCTTATGAAGTAGTAGATTGTGGTCTACTTTATCAATTTACTGAAGTTCAAGTAAATTATATCCACAGCATTCCTCTGGTCCACTAATTTTGTCACTTTATCAAAGAATGCAATAAGATTCCTCTGGCATGATCTGTTTTTGACAAAGCCATGTTGGCTTTTGATTATGACTTTGTTTGCCTCTAGGTGTTCGCAACAGCATTGTGGTCTCCTGGCTAATGTAACTATGCCATACAATAATAATACTAAAGACATCAATCAGTTTCTTTTATATGTTCAGTGAAAGATCTTTTCCCATATCATACTTATAGCCTGTCATTTTTAAATCTATGTTTAGATCAGTCTCTATCTTGTCCTGTAAAACTTGTTCCTCTTCTATAAGATTCTAAAAGTGATCTTAGGATCAACAGAAAAGTTTTATTTGGAAATGCCTATGCCTGCTGATTGTAAAGAAGGAACATAATCCTGCCTAGGGATTAACGTAGGACAAAATTTCCTAATAGTAAAAATTAGTGTTACACTTTATATAAAGCACTTGTAGTCTGCTATCTAGAAATATTCTCCATCAAGGCAGCAATGACGTGATTAAAATTTAAAAAGTTATCCTTGAAAACAATGACAACCAGACATTAAGAACATAGCATTTCAACAAAACTAGATCAGAAAATAATGATTTAAAACCCAAAGAAGAGTTTTCCTAGTTCAAATGATGCAAACTGAGCAAAATCTCAGAAGACTTCACAACCCAGGAAATGGAAATGCTCTCCCAACCAAGCCACACAATTAGCTGTACATCTCCACCCCAGGTCACCCCAACGATGCCCTTGACGTGATGACCCGCTGCCTGGAGGCCGTACGGGTCTGGATGGGGAGGAACAGACTCAGACTCAACCCTTCCAAGACCGAGTGGCTGTGGTTGCCGGCGCCCCGGCATAGTCAGCTGATTCCATCGCTGTCTATAGGGGGCGAAACTTTGGCCCCCTC